CAAGAAAATAGTTTTTGGCGCTCACTGCTTGAATACGAAAAGAATTCTCTCTTAATCTTTAAAACAGTCCAAATTTCTAAAATTTGTTAAGATTCTCACAAGAAATTGAAAACAAGGTGGTCGAAAATGGAGGTTTTTCTGAGGGGAAATTTTTTTGATAACAATAAGTTGTATAATATAAACTTGATTCTCTTGCTCGTCAATTCCACCATTAAAAAAAAAGAGCTGTCTGACCATTGACTATTACTCAGAGAATTTGATACCGAAATGAACTAAATGAATTTTTTTTTTTTTAATTCTTTTTGTGCTTTTATTTGATTGATTGATTATTTGAAACTGTGAAATGTTTCTAATCGCATAGCAGGTTGATTAATTATAAATGTTATGTTTAAAAGAAATAACAGAGTCACCAGTTAAAAAGATGTTATTTTTTCAATCACTGTAAAATTACTTTTTTATTTATTTTACAAAATATTTTATCTAATAAAGAAAACGAAAAAAATAAAATAAAATAAAAGAAACACTGAAAAGGAAAGTGAAAAAAATGTAGAATTTGAAGAAAAGTAAAGTAAAATGGAATGAAAAGGAAGCGATTGGAATAAAGAAAGAAAGAAAAAAGATATCAAACAAGAAGAAGAGAAAAAGAAAAGAAAATGAGAGTAAAAGAATGGAATGGAAAAGATAGGAATCATAACCAAGTGATGGAACTAAGGAGGGGGAAAAAGGAAAATAAAATTTCAGTTGTACTATTGTTTTTTATCATATTTATATAAACTGATTTTAAAATTAGCAAAGATACTATGCAAGAAAAATATCCAAAGTCCAGACAGTGAAATTTTATATCCTAAAATATTTTATTTCTAGTAACATCCAAGCCTAAGAATCAACTTGGCTTGTAAACAATGTTAGCGTCATGGTCAATGTGGGATAAAATTAGATCAAAATAAAGCTAAAAATCGTTGGACATGTTAAACAAACTATTCAGGCATGGGTTGCTTTCCTTTTGGTGGCAAAACCGCAAAATTCAATTATCAGAAAACTTATAAATTTTCCTCTTGCCTATAAAAGCTAAAATAAATGATAGTTGTTTTTTTTCTACTATGAAGGAATTCGCGCACATGAAGAGATAGAAGACACTGGATATGACTTCAAGAATGGATGAAAGAAAGCATCGTGATAAGCTGAGGCAGCCCTCATTGGAGATAGAGAACATGGAGCTTAAGGCTGCGGTTGACAGCCACAAATCTATAATCCAACAACTCAGAGAAGAGTTACGAGCTAACAACCATGTTCAAGTGAATCCTGGAGAAGGAGAACGCTTCCGGCTTGAGCAAGAAATTTTGGATTTACGAGGGGATTTACATGGAAAGGGAATTGCTATCAAACAATTGAAACAAGAGTTAGTTAACTCACAACAGACCATTGAACAGCTACACCACAATTACGCATGCGCACGAGGGACAATCGAGGCAAAGGACGCGACAATTCGCAAGGTGCAAAAAGAAATCAGTAACCTGCAGGAATCGCTTGAGGTCTCGCAAAGAGATAAACGTTGTGTCCTTGACCGGCTCAAATCGGTGGAGGCCGATTTGTCCGCCATGAGTATCGACAAGGAATGGCTTGACCAGCAATTAGAGATATCACAAACTGCAGTGGCAGAGTTTCGTGCGACCGGCAGCCCGAGTTCTGATACTCCAAGGTCAAGAGAAGAACTGGAAGTAAGGATGGAAGGGGTGAGGAAAGAAAGGGAGAGCCTTCAGGAGTTGATACAGACAGCGGCTCATTACGAAGAAATGATAAGAAACATGGATACTAACGGGGGATATAAGAACTCTAGAAGTGGACATCACTCGCATAGGTCTTACGGGAGAAGCGCGACTGAAGCGCATAAAGTGGACGAATCGACGATACAGGACTTGGGGAACAAAATGACAGAAGTAGAGGAAAGGTTACGCAAAGCCGTCTTATCGCAGAAATACCAACTTCAGACAGAAAGGGAGCAGCTCATCCAAGAATTTAAGACAATGCAGAGGCAGTTATTAGAATATCAGAAACACCAAGAGTTGCACAAAACAGACATGGAGGCAAAGGATACGTTGATTCAAAGGTTGAAGACCGCAAAGGCGTCACTTGAGAGCGAAGTAGAATCACTAAAGCGTGACTTGGTCTCCTGCCAAAACCAAAACCAGCGTTATCAACAGGAAAAAAGTACATTTGAACATGAGTTGAAGTCCTCCAGAAATCAAATTGATAGAATGGAATCTGATTTGGTGAATGAGAAGCGACAGAGAGAGCTAATGCGGGCCAGGATAGAGCAGTTTAGTTCGTCCAGTGCGATGGAGAAAGAGGAGCTTTCGAAGCTGAAGATGAGCTTACGTGATCAGTCATTCCAGGCGGAGACGTACGCCAAAGAGAATAAAGCAAAGGATAGTTTGATCGCGCAGCTTCGTGAAAGACTTGTATGGAGCGAAGAAGAGCTAGAGAAAATGAAAGGCCAACTAATGAACACAAGAAATTTGGAGTCTGGCTTCGATAGAGAAAGAGAAAACCTAAGTCGAAGTTTGGTCAGTGCTGAAAGACGGATAAGTGAGTTAGAATCGGCTTACCAACAATGCTGTCAGACCAAAGATGCACTACAAAGAGAAGTAAAGAACTACCAACAAACGTTTTCAAAGTTAAAGTCAAGTGATGCGTCCAATCAGCAAAGACATATGGGGTTGGAAAACGAGATTTTAGTGCTGCGAAACAAGTGTTCCAAACTGGAAGCTATGTATGAAAGCTGCCAAAAGGAAAAGATACAACTGCAGCAACAACTCATGCCTGCGACCATGAAAAATTCCCATCTGAAAAGTGCGTTTGACAGCAGCCAACAGCAGCAGCTACAGATGCAAGAGGAAGTTCTTCTTTCACACAAGAAAGTCAGTGAAGCCGAAGCAAAGTTAGAAAGAATCAAACAAGAAAAAAGTGAGATCCAACGCGAGCTGAGTAGCATCAAGAACACACTAAGCAATACGGAGCAACAGTTACAGCGCGTCACCAAAGAAAAGGGAGATATTTCTGCTAGACTAGAAGACGCTAATAGCAGGCTTTGGCAATCATCGGGAGATAGCAGAAAAATGGAGACCTACTGGCAGGAGTATCAACAAAAGTACGATTCACTTTATTCTGAAGTCGACCGTAAGGAACGCACGGTTAATGAGCTAAGAAATGAAAAGGTCAACCTAGAACAAGAGGTCCAGAAATTAAAACACGACTTTGAAATCATTAACAGTGACCTTAGAGCGTGCCAAAGAGAGAAGGAAAAGATTGTTTATGAGCTGACGAGTAAGAAACAGAGAGCGTCGGAAGCTGAAGATAGCGTCACGCGCTTGCGCAGTGAGAGAGAAAAGCTTCAACACGAGTTGGTCGTGATGAAAGAGAATAATACTCAATGGAAAGACATGTGTGAGAAAATCCAACAGGATAAAGAAAGGCTGCAGCAAGAAATGATTGAATTGCAGCGCACCATCTCCAGCTATGAAGCAAACAAAACCAATGTTAAATGCGATCGAAATGCGGCCAATAACAGTGAAGTTATATCCCTAAAAGCACGTGTGGATCACCTCGAGAGTCAGTTGAGCTGCGCAAAAAGGACAGAAGAAGATCTGAACAATCGGTTAAGAGAAAGTCAAGGAAACAAACAAGATCACAGGCTGGTGGAAAGGCAATTGGATGAAAAAAATAGACAAATTTCTTACTTGACCAAAGACCTTAAGGTCAAAGTACACTTAATTGAACAGCTAAAAAAAGAAAGCATTGGCCTTAGAACAGAACTTGATGACGTGAACAGGACAACACTGGCTGCAAGTCCCAGGGAGGATCGCAAACATCGCGAGTTGGCCATCTTAAAAGCTGATCTCTCAGAACTTCGTCAAAAGGCGCATGACTATGACAACGACCGCGAATCACTGAGGCAGAAAAATATGCAGTTACAGAAAGAGTTGCTTTCGATACAAAGCAGGAATAAAGAGTTAGAAAAGAGCTTCGAGAAGCTGAAGGAACGGGAGCATAAATTACAGCGAGAGACGGCAATAAATAAAGATTACATCTCTAAGTTGGAGTACGAGCTTAAAGAACACAATGACAACAAGGTAAAGATCCAGAGTGCCTTTGAATCGTCTGAAGAAATGAAAGAGGAGCTCTCGAAAGAGATTCTAGATGCAAGAAAGAAACTATTCGAACTAGAAAGCCTTTACAGAATTACAAAGAATGAGAATGAAACTGCAAAAGAAGTTGACAGACAGAAAATCTTCAAACTGGAGAACCAGGTTGAAAATCTCCAAAGACAGAAGACACAGCTTCAGCAGCAGTTAGAAGAAACGCGTGAGAACTTGAAAATAAATATAGACGAAGCATATAAACTAAGAGAGCTCCTAGATGAACGACAGAGGGATTCAGAAGCGCAGCAAAAAGGTGTCCGCTCCAATTCAAACCTCATCGAGAAACTTCAGTCTGAAAAGAATACAGTGACGAGAGAACTCGAAATCATTAAAATAGAACTCACGGCATCTTGTTCCGCTGTCCAGACTTATAAGGAAGAGAAAACAAATGTTGAGCAAGAGCTGCAGTCTGCACAAGAAAAGATAAATGAATGGGAAAATGCGTACAAGATTCTACAAGAAGAACAAGAAAATATGCTGAGAGAACTGAAAACTGCTGAGCAAAGATTCAATAATGTGGAGGGAGACTTCAATTATAATCAAAAGAAATTTGATCAAGAGGTCCATTCGAGTCAAATGAAGATAATAAAGCTGGAATCCCAGGTACAGAACATCGTGAAGCAGAGGGATTCCCTCAGGGATCAACTCGAGGATGTCAAAACCGAACTAAAAAGAAACAAAGTTGATTACTGTTCATTGCAGAAAGAATTTATTGAGCATCAAAAGAGGTGTGATATCTACCGCAATGAATTGATGTCAAAGACTCACGGACTCGAAAAGCTGGAAGCGGAGAAACAGTCTCTAGAGCGAAAAATTGAACTTCTAAAGAACCAACTTGCAGCTACTGAGATGAAGGATGGTGCATCAAAGCAACGCAAGGATGATCTCGAGAACGACCTGACCAACGCTAAAGAACGATTGGCTGAACTTGAGCACAGCTTTGACCAATTAAAACGCGAGAAAGAAGACACTCAAAGAGAGCTTCATGGTGTGACATGCAAGTTAAACGAGATAGAAACTTCCTATGGCAAAGCACAAGGCAGGATAAAAGAATTAGAGGCACACCTTAATAATGCGAGGAAGACTATAACCGAGCTGGAAGAAGAAGTGTTTGCTTTAAGAAGCAGCGTCACTGAGCATGAAGCAGTTTATGGACACCATTCTGGCAACTTTGAAGATCTTGAGTACCAACTTGAAGTGACTCAACAGAGTATGACGGAGTTGGAGTCATCGTTTGACTTCAGTGAACGAGAAAAAGATGACTTGAAACAACAGCTGCAGCATGCAGAGAGGAAGATCGCAGAACTCAAAACTTCTTTGCAAAAGAACGAAGAGGAATATGATGATTTAGAAAGGGAGTTGGATTCCACAAAGGGCCGAGTTTCAAAGCTCGAACAGCAGCTTAGTAACGCGCAGAAACAAAAGACGCAGTACAAGGAGCAGCTTGATGAGTCGAAAGCCAAGCTTGCGAAAACCAAAGACGACCTTTCCTCTTTACAGAGAGAATTATCTAACTACCAACGCAATCTGGACAATCTAAAGAAAAATACGGGCACCAAAGAAAGTACCTTAGAAGATCTCAGACACAAATGCTCGATTCTGGAGTCTACTTTGAGTCAAACCGATGATGCTCTTCATCAGCAACAGACGCAAAACGAGCTGATTGAACTTGATAAACAAGCCTTGCAAGAAGAACTGCTGCATACACAGCAGAAGATACAAGAACTTGATGTTGCTCTTCACATCAGTGAAGAAGAAAAGATACGCCTCGAGGAAGAGGTTCAGTTGTTCTACAAGCAGATTTCTGAACTCCAAGCAAGCTACCACATTTGTGAACAGGAAAAGCTGGATGCGCAGAGACAGGTTTCAGTATTGGAGCAAAAGGAGATGAAGCTTATCATGCTCCTCGAACAAACCAAGAAGGAGAAAGAGATATTTGAAACAAAAGCACAAGAAACTGAAAACTCTAACAGAAAAATTGTCGAGGAATTACGTATCATTAAAGCGCGGGCACAAGAATATGAAACGTCTTGTTCAAATGTGACCGGTACTTATAAACTGCAAGAGAATGTTGTGGAAGAATGTAAGACTAAGATTGCAGCACTGAGTTCAGAGAACGAGTTCTTAAACGCCCAGCTTGACTCATTGAAGCAAAACCATCACGATCTTGAGAGTGATAAGAAACGCCTCCAAGAAAAAATACGAGACACTACTGAGGAACTTATCAAGTTGAAACCTCTTCATGAAGCAACCCAGAAGAAGAAAGAACAACTTGAGACAGATATGCAGAGTACTCGCAAGAAACTAGCCACCTTAGAGACAAGTGCCAAGAGAACAGAAGAAAAGTTGGAGAACGTAGAAAAGGAGTTGCAAGTATGTAAAGATAACATTTCCAAGCTTGAAACTGAACTTGCTGCGGCTAAGAGAAGAGCGGACAGCCTAGAAGCTGACTACCAAACTGTATCGGATGAACTTGAAGAAGCAAGAAGTGACCTCAGAGATGCCGAAGAGAGAAACGTTGCACTTGCTCTGCAGCAAGACAGGACAAACACTGACCAAAAGTCACAAGAGCAGCAATCATTTGATCTTGAAAGAAAACTGGATAATCTTGATGACGACAACGCGAACCTACGACAGCATAAAGAACTTCTGGAAGACGAAATAATTGAAGTAAGAAACCAAGTTTCCAAGTTAGAGGCAACAGTCGAGACGTTAACGAGACAAAAGAGAGAAATCAAAGACCAGCTTGATATATCTAAAGACAGGATCATCCAGTTGAAAGAAGAGGGATTGAAAACTGGTAGCCAGCTTTTGGAACAGCAAGGAATGGCCGAGTCTCTTAAAAGGGCCATCGAGAAGAAGACCAAATTGATCGAAGAGCATCAGGAAACGATCAGCGATATGGAAAAAGAAATGGAAGTTTTAAAGAAAGAAAAAATGAATCTGCAGTTGTCCTGCGACGCTTTAAAGAACGAGAAAACGGAACAGGAGAACAAGATTTTTGAATATGAATCAAGAATCGAAGATTTCAAACAACAGGTTGTTGAGCTTACAGAAATCCATACCAAGCTCGAAGAGCAGACGACTTTCAAAGTTAGAGACCAAACGGTTGTGGAGACCGAGATAAGGGCGCTACAAAGAGACCGCAGCCAACTGAAGACTGACTTAGATGATGCTTTGATCAAGCTGGTAAAGGAGACTGAAGATAAGACCCGTGCTCAAAAGCTACTGGAAGACTATAAGAATACCTCAGAGAAACTCGCAAGAGATGTTCAAAAGAGAGAAGAAATTATTGCGACGCTGCGTGAAACCAACATCAAGTTTGAAACAGAATTGTCCAGTCTCAAAGAAGAAGTTATGGAAGCACGAGAAACCTTCAAGGACACCGACACGAAAAAATACGAGCTCTTGGACAAAGTCAAGACGTCCAAACTTACTATAACAAATCTAGAAGAAACTGTAATGAGTCTAGAAAAGGAGCACCACTCTTTGACTTCCCAGCTGAAACTAAAAGAAACTAAATGCAATGAGCTTGAGAAAAAGTACAAGAAATCTTATCAAGCTGAGACTGAACTTAGAGAGGAGTTACGAAATTGTACCTTCAAGATGAATGAGCTAGATACTGAACATGAGGTATTTGTTCAGCAGCAGACCCACACGAGAAAAGAGGTTACAGTCCTAGAAAGGAAGATAGTGGAACTAGAAGCGACGTACGAGAAGTGTGATTTGGAGAGAAAAAGTTTAAGGCAAGAAGTTGTTATTACAAAGAACAAAATTGCAGATTTGGAGCTTCGATTGGAATATGAAATTAGTGAGAAGAATACCACTAAAGAGGAGCTGCAGCTGGCTACATCAGAAAATGATAGCGGCAAAAGCACCATCAACGAGCTTGAAAAAGCCATTATGGATCTTAAGATTCATCTTGAATCTACAAAGAAGGATCTCGAAGACAAGGATGAGAAGTTCAAACAGCTGAAGTCTCGAAAGAGTTTCCTTGAAGGGCAGCTTGAAGCGATGAAACAAACCCTTTCTATCAGTAAGGAGGAGTGCGAGAGACTTCAACAAGAACAAAGCGCCGTTCAACGTGAGAAATTAACCCTGAGCAAAAAGATATCAGAGCTTGAAAATAAGCTGGAGAAAGAAAAGCATTTAAAGGAAAAGGTCATGGATGAGTTGAAAGTACACGAAAATGAACTTCAATCCCTTAAAATACAACTGGAGGACTGCCTGTTTGAGAAAGAAAGGCTGAACCAAGGTCTAGAAGAGTACAGAACGACAGCGATGAACTTCAAGAACGAAGTTGTTGCATTGCAGAGGAATGTTACCGAAGCTGAAGGACAGTGCGAAATTTTACAAGAAGCACTCGAAGATCGTGATGCAACGATATCACAATTAAAAGAAACGAGAGAAATCTTGCAAAGTGACGTCAATGAAATGAAACTGGCTCTAAAAAGAAAAGACCAAGAGCTTGAGTCCCTGAGGGCTAAGAGAGAGGAACTTGAAAATGCGCTCAATTCTGCTTTGAACAAACTTACTGAGCTAGAAAGTACCTATGAAATGAGCAAGGCATCTGGGAAGAGGTACGAAGAGGAGATTACGTCATTGCATGAACGTATCTTGAAAACTGAAGACAAACTACTCGAAAGTCAAGAGAAAGAAATGACACTTAGACAAGAACAAGTTATCATCAAAGCACAGTTAACAAAGCTTGAGACGAGTTATCAGTTCTTGTTGGATAAGAATACCGAAACAGAGAAAGAGCTGGAAATTGTTCGAATGGAGTTTGATTCCACGCGTCGAAGTCATGATGAAGACGCTACTGAGCTTGAGAATTTGAGGTGCGAAATTACTGAAAGTAAAAATAAGATGTTCAAGCTTGAAACGCATGTCGAGAAACTGGAAAAAGATAAGCTAGGGATTGAAAAACGTTACGAAGAAGTTTCAGTCAAGGCAAACAAGTACGACAATGAAGTGTTACCAATGGAGCGTAAAGTGAAAGAACTTGAAGTCCAAAATGATTCCCAGATGAAAGAGCTTGAGAGTAAAAAAGAAATCATAGAATCGTTAACAGACGAGAAAGATAACCTTGAGAACACGGTCTGGGATGTTCAGAGTCAACTTACGAATGCGCAATTAAGTCTGGAAACACTAAAGAAAGCAAAAGAGGCAATGGAGAAAGATCTGTTTGATTCCATGAAGCAATGCGCTGACTTTGAACTTCGACACGAAACGACCAAACAAGAAAACGAAGAAATTCAGAAAGAGCTTATAGAGGGACAAGCAAAATTGAACCGACTTGAAGACGAATTAAAAAGAACTGTGAAAGAGCTAGCAGATGTAAAGAATGAGAAACAAGACCTGAAAGCAAAAGCTTCTCATAGCAGAGACGAGGTGAATCGCTTGGAGCGTGAGTTAGCTGAGAAGAACTCAGAATTTACAAGGTTGAAACGTGATCTTGAAAGAACAGAGGAGCTTTTGGCGACCGTTCAACTTCAAAACGAGGAAATGGAAAAAGAACTCGAAAACACGAACAAATTGTACGAGGACGAAGAGGGTAAACTAGCTGATGTAGAGGGGAAACTGTCAAGGGCTCATTCAGAGTTGGATGAAAAGGATCAAAGATTGTCTGACTTGGAGCAAACTTACAAGATGTGTCTAGAAGAAGGTAGAATCTTGAAGCAGGATATCATGAGCTGCAGAGAAAAGGTTGGAGAAATCAAAGCAAGTTATCAAGAATCCCTAAATGAAAGCAATAATCTGCGACAAGAACTTGCTTTTGCCAATCAACAAATATCCCATGTTCAATCAAGGAATGAAAGCCTTTCTAAAGAAAAAGACAATCTTAAGAGAAATTATAATGATCTGAAAAGTGAGAAGAATGAGCTGCAGGCGGCTTGCGATAGCTTGCAACGGGACAAGGCAAGACTCGAGACGGAGAACCAACAACAGCAACGTCAATTAAATGATCTTCAGAACAACATGGATAAACTTAATAAAGAGAAGAAAAACACTAATGGTGACTTGTTGGACATCAAGAACGAGCTCTCAAGTCTTCAGTCTTCACATGAGGACCTAAAGAAGCAATATGATACCAAAGACAGAAATAACAAGGAGCTGGAAAAGAAATACATCAAACTTGAGCTGGAGCATAGTGAATGCTTTAGAACCAAGAACTTGATGCAAACCAAAATAAATGGGCTGGAAAGAAAAACAACAGATCTGGAACAGAGTGTAGCGTGCTTAAATGAAAGAGTTAAAAATCAGCAGAATGATATGCTGGACACTTCGAAGAAGGTGTCAAGTCTGGATCAAGAATTAACAGCAGCACGCAACAAGGTGGTCAGACTAGAAGCCTTCGATGAGACAAATAAAGAAAAGAACAAGCGCCTCTCTGATGAGTTGATAAAGGTTGAACAAAATGCTGCAGACCTTGAGCAAGCTTTGACAAGTCTGCAAGAAAAACAACCTCGATTGCAAAAGGAACTGTTGGACGCAACCAAGAAGGCTACCGAGTTTGAAATGGCTTTGAATGCCTCTCACGCACTAAAGACCCAGCAACAACAGGATCTTAACAATGCCAAGAGCAAATGTATCACTTTACAAAGTGACTTGCAGAAGGCCCTGAAGGAAAAAACAAATCTAGAGAGCCAGCTTGAAGACACAAAAAGCAAGCTAGAAAACCTTAAGCTTGATAGCACCCAGAGTCAAAGACAGCTTGTGACACTGAAGCACGACGTCGAAATTTACAAAACAGAAAGCAATGAAAAACAACTGTTAATTGATGCATTTGAAGTAGAAAAGTCGGTCATTGAGAATGACTTCAAAGACACCAGAAATGCTCTCACGACCACCAAGCTGGACCTAGAGGAAATGAAGAGGTTAAATGATGACTTGAAGTCTGATTTCAGTGACATTCAACAACAAGTTAATGATCTGAAATCTCTTAATGAGACGCTGAAAAACCAAAACGAACAGTTACTGGAAGAAAAGACGGTTGCTGAGACAAATTACAAAGAATCGAAGTACCTTTTAGATACGATGCAACAGGAAAAAGAAACATTGAACGCGGAGTTGGTAGAAGCAACGGAAAATAATGAAGTCGTTGCTCAGCTCAACACTGTGACAGAAGAAAAAGATAATTTGAGGAATGTATTAGAAACATTGACTGAAGAACTGGAATCCTTGAAAACAGCTTATGAAGATCTTACCATAGAAAAGGGCCAGCTTGAAGATCAACTTAGTTCGACTTTAGAAGAGGTGGATGATTGTCGTGATAAGAATCAAAATCTACGCGCTGAAAACACCAAGGTAACTTATGAGTTAGAATATGTTAAAAAAAAGCTGGAGAATTTGGAGCAATCGAGCAAGGACGTTAATTCTGAGAAAGAAAAATATCAAGAAAAGACTAACGAGTTGGAACGAAGACATGCACAACTAGAAGCTGACTACGAGTTCAGCCAGGCAAAAATGAATGATCTGCAAAAAGACCTTTCGTTTGCTGAAGACAAGGTGAAGTTTCTTGATGCAACGGTGGCTCGAAGCAAAGCAAGAGAGGAAGAGCTTGAGAGTGAGAACCTTGAGAACCACAAGAAGGCCTCAACGATGGAATACGAGCTGCAGTCTTCACGCGAAATTCTTGATAACCTTCGTTCCGAGTTCGCAAATTCAGAGAAGGAGAATTCTGATCTGCGCAACGAAGTACTTGATGCCCAACGAAAAATCCACGACTTGGAATCACAGCTCGAAGACGCTAACGAAAAAATACGAAGCCTTCAAGGAAAATTGGTCCAATCCCAAGATTTTATTTCTGCACCTGTTGAAGCGGTGATGCTAGGAGATGGTATTGACAATACAGATAAAACAGGCAACGCTGACACCAAAGACAAACCTAATGAAACTGCAGCGCTGAGATCTAGGATTTCGACACTGGAATTTGAGCTTGATGGCGCAAATAAAGAAAGAGATAGCCTTTCTTCGTATCTGGAGGAACTAAAGAACGCAAAAGATGCTGATCGAGATGACGTGAACAACATGAGACGAAAGGTTCAAGAACTAGACATGCAATGTGAGCAATTTAGAAGAGGACTGACGGAAAAGACAGAACAAATCGAAGAGTTAAGAAAACAAAAGTCATCTCTAGTTTACGAGGTCGAGACTTTGAAGAACGAAAATCTGAACAAAGACAAGATCAATGAAGATACTACACTTGAGAATGAGAAGTTCAAGAATGATTTCGACAACCTAACGAATCAGATAAGCCAGCTTGAAGAGAAGTTAGAAGCAAGTGAGAAAGAGAACGAAAGGATACGAAATGAATCTATTTCGACACACAATTACTTGTGCAAGATAAAGGACGACAAAAATGACGTTGAAAGTAATAATGGATTGCTACATCATGAGCTACAAGTTGCCCAAAAGAGGCTCTCCGAAACCGAGCTACTGCTTCAGGGACTGAAACGACAGAACGAAGCTCTCAAGAAGGAATCGAAGAATGAAAACGATTTTGAAATTAGAAAACTCAAACAAGAAGTTGAAAAGTTTGAGCGTTTGTACAAAGTCAGTGATAGTGAAAAAACTAAACTGAAAAATGAACTCATGGAATTAAGTACTAAGAACAGAACTGTGCAAACTGAGAAGAGATCTCTGGAGAATGAATTGACGACGTTGAGGAAGAGAATAACAGAATCCGAGAAGAGCTACGAGAGAAGGGAAGAGAAAGAGACAGTTTTGCAGAATGAAATTATCGAAATACAGCGCAAATACTCCAAGATGGAATCCATGTATTACGAGAGTCAGGAAGAGGAGCGTACACTCAGAAGGAAAGCCGACTACGCTGACAACAGAATCCAAAGTCTGACTGAAGAACTCGAAGAAAAAAATCTGAAACTAGAAGAACTGACGCGAGAATGGGAAAGTAAACAGTACGACGATGAAATTGACAAACTAAGACTCGAAATGGATAATCTCTTACTAGAGAAAACAGAACTTGACGAACAGCTAATACTAGCTAAAGGGGAAGTGGAATATTTCAGAAACAAGATGGATGACGTTGAGGAAGAGACAAGCCTATGGGAAGAAGAGCGTGAGAAATTGAAGGCGGATGCGAAGGAGGCAAGGAGAGAAAACAGCGAGGCTAAGAGAGAGAACCGACGTCTTGAAGAAGAGCTGAGGAACGCTAATAGAGAAATTGAACGAATTAATCGTTTGTTGAGAGAAAAAGAAAATGAAAAACAAAAAATGGAGCGCGAGAAACAGAGACTTTTGGACGATATCAGTACTGCAAAGGATGATAACCAGGCCAGGAATGAGAAGTATAGGTCTCTAAAGAACGAGCTTGATATGATGACTGAGAAAAACAACCAGATCAATGAAGAAAATCAAAGGCTTCGTCGTGAAAAGGATGATTGTGTCCTGGAACTATCAGTATTGAAAGACAAGTACTCGCAACTGGTCCAAGAACAGTGGAGATTCAGATCAGAGCAGGATGACTTTACCAGAACTAAACAAACACTGGAATACGAACTTGAGAGTTGTAAGTCAAAGCTTCGAAGTAAAGACGAAGAACTATCAGTATTGAAAGACAAGTACTCGCAACTGGACCAAGAACAGTGGAGATTCAGATCAGAGCAGGATGACTTCACCAAAACTAAGCAAACACTGCAATACGAACTTGAGAGTTGTAAGTCAAAGCTTCGAAGTAAAGACGAAGAACTATCAGTGTTGAAAGACAAGTACTCGCAACTGGACCAAGAACAGCGGAGATTCAGATCAGAGCAGGATGACTTTACCAGAACTAAACAAACACTGGAATACGAACTTGAGAGTTGTAAGTCAAAGCTTCGTAGTAAAGACGAAGAACTATCAGTATTGAAAGACAAGTACTCGCAACTGGACCAAGAACAGCGGAGATTCAGATCAGAGCAGGATGACTTCACCAAAACTAAACAAACACTGCAATACGAACTTGAGGATTGTAAGTCAAAGCTTCGTAGTAAAGACAAGGACATAAAGTTGTTGGAAACGGAGAAGACTAAGGCTGTACAAGAAAAGCACAAGTATGAGTACGAGTTGAGGGTTGTCCGTGAGAATATGCAGATAATCGAGAAAGAGTCAACAAATGTACAAATACAGAAAGAACAATACGAAAACGCGCAGAAGGAGCTGCAGCACGCTAGCACATCAGAGCTACGACTGAAGATATCTGAGATTCACAGACTGGAACATAGGGTTGAAAGCTTGGAGAACGAAATTGAAAGTCTGCAGAATGACTTGGTGCTTAGCCATACGGCGTATAAGGAATTGAAAGAGAGGTGTAGCTTAGTTGAAGTGACTGAGAAGAGAGATTATATGGAAGTGGAAGAGGTGAGAAAAACCACGTCTCTTACCTTGGACATACAACCTCGTGCTAGGCAAACCACTGTTATGGATATTGATGTACAGCCACGTGACTATGAGACAACAAGACTCGATGGCTGCGTGTACACTGAATCACGTGATTACGAAGCGAGGGTCATTAACGTCAGTGTACAACCGAGTGATTATGAGATTAAGAGAGACACGAACAACAATGTGATACCACGTAGTTATGACAGAAAGACGAGAGTCATGGACTTCAATAGTCCATCCAATGACTACGAAGATGTAATAGAAGCCATTGCTTATGAGGCAACTCCTGAGCCCCCGTATAGTAGTAAAACATCCCACTCTGAACCACAGGGTTATGGTGGCAGAAGGTACGGTAAAGCAAAAGATACACCATTCCAACCTAAAGAGTTTATAATAGCTGAACCACTGGAGACGAGCAAACTAGAGATCGAGGTGGAAGGTAAAGAAATTGAATCCCCACGAGCCGTGACGACCATCAAAGTACCAAGTGTCCAAACCTATGTACCCATAGCTGTCACGCTGGAAGAAGATGAAGATGGCGAGTATGAAGTCACTGATATCGAAAGCTCACCAAGGAGAAGATGGAAATACTAATCGTGTATGAGTTTTTAACGGATTTATACTGGTGCTTGTCGGCGATGCACCGCAGATTTCATTAGGATTTTATAGAATTAATTTTAGATAGATACGCAAGAAAATGGCCGCGACATAGCACTATATTATGATCCAAGCCATTAAGCATTGGATGGAAGGATTGCGCATAAGCTAATTAGCTGGAAGTCGAGGGGAGGGGTGAGTGAGGCTGTGTACAAAGGAATGCGCATGCGTATAGAAACCATCCAACGTACAACATCGTTTTACCGTCCTCGACGTTATATTATTTATAAACAAGAAAATTCACTTAGAGTATCTTAAAGTATTTTGATAATATGATTGAGACATTCCTGACGAGTTCGTTGCTAGAATTCCTATCATTGCGGATTTTTATTAATATTTGATAAGGATATTGCCGGGGATTTTTATTGAGGATAAAGTTATGTAATTATTACGCAATATATAGTAAGACTTTAGGAGCTTTTATAGCTTTTATATGTTTATAGATTAAGTAGTAAGATTGCCAATAATATTAGATCGACCAATAAGACCACATAGCTGTAGGCAAATTCAATGAATTTCATAATTTAAATCCACTGTAAATTAGTTTTGTACATGTAGTAAGTAATTTATTCGGTTCACGCTTCCTTTATTCTACATGAAAGGGTGATTTTGAGGATTTTGCGTCAAGGTGGTTACTGAGAAACAAATATCAATCTTCTATGTTAGAGATGCTATTTCAACTTGACATTTTCTAGAAAATCCTGAGCAGGAAGGATTATTCCGCAGGCAATGTATATCTTTTCCAGTTCCGCCATAAACTTACTAGGTGTCGCTAATTGGTGCGGCCTCAAAAACCCTATCATCGTTAGGCAGTTCTTCTTTCATTGTCTAACAGAAAATTGAATTCATAGACTTTTTTAAAAGTTTTTACCGCTGAAGTAGAAATTCTTATGTTAAGATCACCGTTAAAAACATCCCGAAGCGGAGCTGTGCACGTTTGGTTTTTGTATACCATTTGATTTTAAAATCTCAACTTACATCAAAATATTTCTATGAAACTTCCTTATACAAATATTTATTAATTAATATTCAATTAAGTATTTGATATTAATTGTTAGATTTATAGTTAATATGCATAATTGAAAATAGTGTATTATACTGTAATTAAACTAATTATACTGTATTTATACCCTGTAAAGAAGTCTTAAATAAAGCGTGTTATATTTAACCTTTCAGTAATTTGAAAGTATGGACTTTTAAGGGGTTTTTTAGGCCACGTCGAATCAAGGGTTGCGCATGCGTAGCGGTAATACATTCGCCTCTCGCGGCTCTGAGGGTATTGGGTTTGGATCCTAAACTGAACATCACAATGACATGTGAGTGGAGTTTGTTAAGATTTTCTTTTATTATAGTATTTTTAGTATTTGGTTTTTAGGCGGCGTTTTCATCTTATTCTTCAATACTTTTGTTGCGTTTATTTGCGTTAACAGTTTTTTAACAGCAATGTTTTTGGTTTTCAAGATATAATTGATTTATCGCTAACGCATGAGATTTCTTTCAATTCCAAACGAATAAGCACCCGGGTTTTTTTACCTTCTGCAAATACTGTTTCAAAAATTCTGTTTGAGTTTCAAAAACACCTTTGTTGTACTTTAATTAATATAAGCACTTTTTCTTTTCTCCCACAAAGCATAGCGAGGGGCCTATTTAATTGGACCGTTTGACCCAATAGAATAGAAAGCTTTTGTAAACACTACGACGCAATTGTGTACACTTTGAATAGTATGACTACGGAAAAAAAAGCTTTGTGCATAAAACCACGAATCACCTGTAATGTTGAGCAAAACAAACTCCAGATTTAGATGTCTTTTGCGCTCAATTCGGGAACTTATCCAGATGGTTAAGCGAATAGATTCTTAGTAACTTGAGTACAATTTATTATTTTTTCTTGCCTCAGAGAAAAGAAATTTATATGCAGACAAAAATGTTTAACTCCGACAAAGAAAGCTGTTTATAGACAGCGCTTGACCAAGGCCTTCGATATTTCATTGTTTATCAGTTTCGTGTTTCAGTTTAAACATCTTGGACTATATTCAATAACTATTCATTTATTTTCATTTCCTGCGCGACTATCGCACTCGTTCACAGCTAGTTTGACAGGACATTTCACTCCAGCTGAAGCGCACTCATTGACCACACCTTATTTAGAGTAAATAGTTATGCAGACACTGATTACGTTTTTCATCTCACAAAGATGTTAAGCTTAGTTTGAAATGGTCGATTTGGAACTCAGACATCAATTGAATTGTGTTAATAATAAACATCTCGGTTTGTGAATAGAGTAAAGAGTAACTCACTTTCGTTAAAACATGAATAGTTGACAGATGCATGTAATTCAGCCTTTGTGAATGTTATTTTTATTGACAATGACATAACTTTGGAATAATCTTAGCATTCAAAACATGTATTCCCATTCTTATTTGAAAAACATGACTCACGGATTATTGAAGTTATTGGTACACCAAAGCATTCAGTACACAATACAAATAAAATAAATAAAGAAACTGACATGGCAGAAACATATTTCCATAAGTACATATAGAAAGAAAAACAATGGTCTTTACATGTTAAACGATACCTCAAAGAAACTTGATATTATGGGTTTGGGAAAATTATCAAGCGCTTTAAGTTTGTTTTTAGCTCACTACGTGCAAATGCATGTCAATCTTATCGTGTTTCTAGACAGGCTTAGAATAATATATTAGAGGTGGTTCGTAATACGAGAGATATAATTGTTAGAGAGTCCATGGAGTTCAGTTTAATCAATGAAACGACCAAAGTGTCGCGAAAGAAAGAGATAAAAAGGAAATGATAAAAGTGGTGCCAATGCTGTCGTTTTGGAGCAAATTGGTTATGTCAGAAATACACAAATATTGTTTTAGGACTCGGTTTTGGCAGATAAATTTGTTAATCAATTACTTAAAAACACGGGATTTCTCGCTAAGAAATCTTGTTCTTTCTAAATGCATCTCTTCTGAAACATCAAAAATTCAAATACAATACACAAAAAAAGGAATGAAATTTCGATATTAGAATCTCAAAAATTAGAAGTATGTTTCAATACTCAGTTCTATTTTGGCTCGTGCCAGCATCCCTCAAACACGCTCTTCAAACATTAAATGATTCCTTATTATTGAAATGCCCATTACGTTAGAGGAAAACCGGAGCCGTTACTAAGGAAACGTCGAGTCAGAGTAGCACCTGTCTTGCCGCCAAAAACAGGAACCAATCAGGAAACGGGAATTACAATCAATAAAGCGACTTGTTTGAATAATGCCTTTCTACAGGTGCTAGGGGGGAATATTTTGTGGTGAGATTATTCCGAATACCATGTGTTGGCTTTGTTATTCATCTTTATTCACTCGTAACAGCAACGACTTCTCTTCGCCAAGCGAAAAAGTACATTACAATAAGGGGAATTGCCAGCCAAAATAACGCTTTTAACGGAAGTTTCAGTTTCTGGTCTTGTTGCTTGTAGCAGAAAACGTACTTCAAATTATTCAAGAACTGGTGGCTTGCTGGGCAATTCGCTAGATTCACGCAGACCGACCTGAAGATACTACGGATTGATGCTCGCATTTTGAAGAAAACATTCGCCTTTTCTATTGTAATCTTTACTTCATATGTTTAATCAAGAAAAATAGAAAGATATTTCATCTGTGAATGGAGAAAGTTGGATTAACTGACGTCGTTGCTGTGATATATTGAGCAGTTTATATTCATGTTTTGTGACTGAGATTGAAATTCACTTAAATTAGATTATAATTCTTAAACTCATCGACAATTTCCCACAATGGCGAGACCAAAGAGTGTAACGGAAAGAGAGCTTATCCAAGAACAGTTAAGCGAGGCCAAAAAGACTCTGAACAGGCTGAGGCAGATCAGTGACTCGCCTGAGAGAAACGGCGAAGTTAATGCCGAATGGAAAGGTAATTCATCACAAGATCCTAACACATCAGTAAACTCAAGTAACTACTTTCCAGTCGGAGATACGCGAAGCAGTTCGCGTTCAGACGACGTAACATCGCCGTCTGGGAGCAGGCAACATTATCCATTGCGAATTTCTACTGCAGCGAGAGATAATTTAGTTCAAGCACTAGGCTATCAAGTGTCGCAACTGGAAGATGATTTGAAGGCCTCATTACTATCTTATTTTGAGCAAGTTGAACGGCAGAAAGAGGATTTAATTAATAGCTTTAATATCATGCAACAACAATTGCTTCGACATCAACAAATGTGTCATGAGCAGACACAGGAAGCGGCAGAGAAGGATACTATTATACAAGATTTGAAAAAATCGAAGCGACAGCTCGAACAGGAGGTAGAGCGACTGAGGACCGAAAATGAGAGATACGCATTGGAAAACTCGAGCTTCTTAAACGGGTTTGATTCCTCGATGGACTCTCTATCGGATAGTTTAAACTTTGCTCCAAGTTCGCAAAACTCGGGATATTCTAGCGAAAAATCTGACGTTAGTGAGAAACTAATGCAGGAAAATGCTTTACTTCGAGGACTTTTGAGACAGCAAGAGAATCTTGATTCTTCGAGGTTGGAAAGAAAGGTTGATTTGCAGCAGAAGCTGTGCCATTCGTATGACAAGGATTTGGCATCCAAGGATATGCTTATCAAACGATTAAAAGCAGAAAATAAGGGTCTGCAAAGTGATATGCAGTCGATGCAAGATGAAGTTTTGAAAGTAAATGCGAGTCGCTTGAATGCAGAAAAAGAGAAAACAAGCTTGCAGCAAGAAATTCAGTTTAAAAATGAACAATTCCTGGCCTTACGAGGGAAATTGGCTGAAGCTTTGGAGGAAAGAGATGAATTGAATAACTATATACTACAAGTAAATCCAAGTGCTAATGACGGCGATAGAAATTTTCCAAACTGTGAACCTGAGATTTCCCAACTTCGACATAAATGCAATACCTATAAAGATAAATTAGGCGATAAAGAAAAGTTCATTAATTCGATGAAGAAAGATAACCAAGACATGGCTATGACACTCGAGACGCTAAAGAGAGATTTAACTGCTGCAAAAAACGAGGCTCAAAGAATGAAACGAGAAAATGAACGCTTGCAGAGAGAGAATGCTGATAGAGATATCGACAGACTTTCTACGGAAAGCACCACAAAGGCAAGCCATTCTACGATAGCTCGTTTAAAGAATAAGATATCAGACTTGGAAGATGAAATAAGGAAATTACAACGTAAATGCCAAGATGCAGAGAGGAGAGAGGCAGCGCTGAGTCAAGATGTGTTAGCAAACGTAGAAAAACTTACACACGCTGAACGAGAACTTTATGCAACTAAAAAAGAGCTGGTTCAGGTTCGTGGACTTTACGAATCAACCGAAAAGAGGAAAAAAGAGCTGCAGAATGAGGCCGTTGCTGCACGGGAAAAGATAATTCGGCTTGAGAAGGAACTTCGGCTTGCAAGAGATTCAGGGAACCTGGGAAATAATCGTGTAGATCCTGAAGAATTGGAAAGTGAGAACAGAGAATTAAATGGTGAAGTTTCACGACTAAATGATGCCTTGAGTTCAAGCAGGTCAGAATTAAATGAATTAGAAAATGCTATTGAAAGTTCGCGTGAACAAATTTCTATTCAAAAAGTGAGATTAGATGGCAATGAAACGATGATTATGAGGAAAGATGAGCGAATCAAAGAGCTCCAAGAGGAATTAGTGGAACTGCACAATCAAAATGATGCTCTCACGGATGAAATTCTACGGAAGAATCGAGAAATAGAAAGCATCAAGATGGGAAAACTCCTGGCTGAACAAGAAAAAGAATTATTAAAAACTGGAAAAATGCCAGTGAGAAGTTTAAATAAAGATGCGACGTCATTCCCTTGCGTTGAACCATCTACACCAGACAGTGGTTTCTGTGAGACCGTTGGACAGACACGTTGGAGAGACCGTGACGTCGCAGGCAATAGCCGCCATTCTGCAGAAGAATCGAGAAATGAAGAAGATGGAAGACCAAATGAAAGGTATAAGGAGACAAAATTGCAGCAAAGGGTATCTGAATTAATGGAAGAAAACGTCAAGCTAAAAGAGCAAGAAGCTGAGATGAATGATATTTTGAGTGACAAGGAGGAAAGACTTGCAGACTTGCAAGTACAGTGCCAACAAATGAAAGAAAGGGAAACAGTCTTGAAGGAAGAGTTTGAAGGAAAAGAAAATGATTTAATGAAAGCTTTGGATGATGTTAAGCTTGAGGTGTCTGACCTGCAGGATGAAAACTCAAGGTTGAGGGAAAAGGAGAGGTCTCTGGAGGAAGCGCTGAAATATGGGAAAGTTCAAAAAGATAAGACTCAAAATCAAGAAGTGTTGTTACTCGATCAACTCGATGCTCTCGAGTCATCGCCGGTGATGGACCCCTGGGAGCTTGATGCACGAGCGAACGAGCCAGCAATTGGCTTATTTCAACAAGAGCAGGTTCAATCCTTGGAAGCAGGAGTAAATGGAGAGCTTTTGGACTTTAGTGGGCTTCTTGTAAGGACCTCAGAATCAGAGCTGCAAAATGCACCCAATAATAACATCGCGAGCAGTGAGATAATTAAAGAAAATGAAAACTTGAAAAATGAGATTGAAAGTTATCAGGTTCAGCTTAAAGATTTAAGTAATGAGAATAAGGGGTTGAAAGATGAGTTGGAAAAAACTCGTGAACTGATGAAGAAGAAACAGAAAGAATACGAGGATGCAAAGGGAGGGAAGGAAGAGCTAAAGAAGAACTTACGCCAAGAGACTACAGCCAAAGAAGCCAAGATCTGTGAGCTACAAAAAGAGTTAAAAGCCACGAATAAGACATGCAACGATCTTAAATCTCAAGTGGAAAAGCTGAAAGCAAATGCTGCAGAGAATGAAAAGGAATTAAGAAATGCTCAAAAGAAATGCGCTGAGTTAGAAAACAAAGGTGCTGTTAGCAAAAAGGCACTCGAAGAGATGGTGGAGAGAGCAAAAGAGGACGAGGCTAATATCCTGTCTGAACTAGGCCAGGCAAAGACCAAAATAAAGAATTTGGAGAACGAAATAAAAGAACTTCAACATGAAGAAACGCAATCAGGAAATGAACGCAGGGAACTCCTAAGAGCAAAAAGAAACTTAGAGGAGCATATACAATCTCTTGAAAAGGAAAAATCAAAGTTGGGAAAGAAAATGAAAGAACTGCATAATGAAAAAGATGAGATTGCGCAAAAATGGGAAGAGGCGAAGCGTGCTATAAAAGAAACGAAAGGTGAGCAGAGAAAACTTCAAGACGAGAAAGAAGACTTGGAATTTGAAATGAGCGAAATGTTAAAACAGAAGAATCGAGAAATCAAGAATCTAATAGAAGATTTAGATAATTCTGAGCAAAAATGTGAAGATTTGAAGTCTTCTTGGGATAATTATGAAGTGATGAGTTCAGATTTGAAAGGCGAGTTGCTGAAAATCAAAGAAGAATGCATTGATTTGACAAATAAAAACGAAAGATTGTACGACTTTAAAAAAGAACTTGTCAAAGACCTCGAAGCTAAGGACAAAATAGTTGAACATTTGAAAAGTGAAAATGATGAACTACAAAATATAATCAATAATGATGAAAAGAACGTTGAGAAGATGCGAGAGAAAATAAAAGAGCTCCAAGAGGAGAATGAGGAACTGAAAGACGAGAGTGATGAACTGAGAAAAACAGTTGATCAGTCAAATAAAGAACAAAATGAAGTTGATAAATTTGTACATAAGCTGCAAGAAGATAAAGAGAATGCTGAAAATCAGTGGCAAGCAGCGCAGAAAAGCATCTCTGACTTGGAGAAAGCGTTTGGAAAAAAAGAAACTGAAAATACACTTTTGAAAGAAAAGCTAAACAAGGCAGACAGGAAGATATCAGAGCTGCAAAAAAGAGATGACACTGCACAGAACGAGCTAATGGAAGCAGAGAAACGAACTAAGTCTGCTGAGAAAAAGGTTAAAGAGTTAAACAGCGAGTTGCAGAAGAGCAAGGAAGATATAAATTACTTGGAAAATAAACAAACAAAAATGGAAAGCACGATCGCGGCATTGGAGGAAGATCACTCGAAAGCTGAGGAACAACAAAAGATACTTCAGCGAAAACTACTAGAAGCAACGAACCGACTAAATGACTTGGAAACTCAAGACACTGAATACTCAGAAAGACAGAAAAACAACGACAAGAGACTTGCTGATCTTAGACAATATAATGAAGAGTTAGAAGCCGAGAGAGATGACTTGGAATACAAAGTAAAGGATCTTAAAAAGAAACTTGATAAAGAAAAAAAGAGGGTGGATGCTTTAGAAGATGAGTTAGCAGCAAAGAAAATGGAAAGAGATGGTGCAGTACAAGAGCTGGGGCTGTTAAAGAGTAGCTTGTCTGAGACAGAGTTTGAACAAAATGCACATCTAAATGAAAAGGAGAAACTCAAAAAAGATTTCCTTGAATCTTCAAAGAAGATCATTGATCTGGAAGTGGATATCGAGTCGCAAAAGGAACAGATTGAAGAACTGGAAAAGTTACTGGATCAAAAACGAGCCACGGTTCTAGACATGGAGGACGACTTGAAAGAGTCAACAGAATCGCTTGCACGACTACAGACCCAGCATGAGGAAGATGCACGGATGCTGAAGAGTCTCAAAGAGGACAATACAAACCTCGAAAAGATGTTAGAAAAGCAGAAGCAGTTAAGTGAAGGATATAAGAATAGTTTGGCCCAGAAAGAAGCCGAGATAGCAAAGTTAACGTTCGATCTCGACGATGCTAAGGATGAATTGCAGCGGTTGAAGAAGGACTTGGCAAGAAAAGAAGGAGTCAATAACGCTAATCAAGAAGAACTAGAAGAAGCAGAGAAACATCTAGCAAGCACAAGCAAGAAACTCCAAGAGACAAAAAACGCTAATGACAAGGTACTGAATGAAAATGAGAGGCTACAAAAAGATCTGGAAAATGCAAGAAAGAGGCTAGCAGAAATGGAAGGAAATGGAATGCAAATTGAGCCGAACTTTGTAAGTGTTCTGGAGGTAGATCCATTATTTTCACGGAAAAGTAGCGCGCCATCTATCGGGCTGAACTCAGCGGATGGCAGGATCAAAACACTGGATGATAAACTGACCAAAGCACAGACTAAAGTGACTGACTTGGAAAACGAGCTCTCAAAGGAAATTAGGCGACATGAGATAGACTGCATCAAAACCAGGCCAACCCTTCCATACTCAGCGAAAAGATCGGGTTATTACGATGTAAGCGGGATGAACAATAAATACGGGATTAGGAGATCTGATTCAGGTGATTCTGAATTAAGTGGTAGCGTAGACGATTTCTTGGTTAAAAACCGTGGCACTTCCCGAAAGAGGTCCGTGGATTCGACCGATGGGAGCCTGGACAGAGGAAGTGACTTTGACTCCAAAGGGAGCGAAAAAAGTATAAAAGCAATGAGCTCAAACACTCCTCAGACTCCAACTTCTCCTGTATTCAGCTTTGATCTGCCGACGAACTCTAAAAATCAGAGGATTGGAAACCTAGAGCCCACCGCCTCAAAACAACCAAACGAAAGCTTCTCGGAAACCCCAAGCAGAGACCAAGAAGCCAATGAAGACGTTTCGTTTGACCACAGCATTGGTAACCTGAACGAGTTGATCTCAGAGATCAATGAAGCAGAGAAGCAAGACCCATTTCTGCATAAATTCTTGCTTGATCAGACCAGGCCTGATGGCACGAGTTCGCCCCGACAAAACGACAGTTTTGATATCATACAACCAACATATACATCGAAAACACGTAATGATGCATTATTTCAAGAGTCAAATGTTGATAGAGCTAGTGTAGTCATAGCGCCACCGTCAGAGCATTTATTAGACTTTAGCGGGTTTGAGACCGCGTCAGATGTAACGAGCGCTACTGACGTCACAGAAGTGTCCGAAGCAATCCAAAGCCAGAACCAGTTCCTATTGGACTTTGATCCCTTCAGTAACAGTAAAGAAAAGCAAACCAATAACGACGGAAAGGATACAAAAAGGAGTTCTGCAAACAATATAGGAAGGAATAGCTATGATTTTGTAAACGAAGAGCCAGGTGTATTTGACAGTAATTCACCTCGTGACGTCACTGATAACTATTCAACACCGTTTGATATTCCAAATTGGGATGAGGAGAGCAATTCAAGTTTTGAAGCTGAAAGTGCGACGGATTTGTTTGATGATACAGCAATTGAAATGGATAAACCGGTTCTTATCTTGATCAACGATAAGAAATACGACGACGGCAAGGAGACTGGCTTGACTGAAGACAACGATAAGGAAAAAGAAGTCGTTCAGTTGGAGAAAGATTCGAAGATTGTCCCTGTTGCTGAAAACAAGGTTGAGCCTATAGATACATTCACAAGCGAATCTGGTTTTGATTTTAAAGAACAAGATGATTTCTCAATACCCGATTCTAAATGGGTCCCGAGCAAAGGCGAGCAAAAGGCCCGAGAGAAAGGTTTTTCAGAAATCCAGGTCGATATTGCACTTGAGGACAGCTCCAGAGAGTCTTTAGAATCACCCGAGCCATCATCATCACGCAAGCCTTTACAAGACCAAGGACACTTAGTGAAAGATTTCGTACGTTTGTCAGAAGAAAACGAGAAAAAGAAACGCAGCCCCACAGAAAGGCACAAAACCGAGAGCTACAAGAAACAACAGCAATTTGAACGCGATAACCCAGATATTCTACAGGCTAACCAACCAGAAAGATCCTACCAAAAAATTGATAGGGACTCTGACGATGATGAGCCCGTTTCTAGAAGACCAAGCGATATTATAAAGCAACTTGAGCAGGCGTCATTCAGTGTTGGAAAACCAGGTACGCGACCACCTCGACCTAAGCGAGCGCAGAATAAGAATGCAGACTTGAAGAGCGCGACTGGGAACGACGCTATAGAAAGCGAGGCTGACACAAAGCCAGAGCCCAAACCAAGAAGTCAAGGAATAATTGGTAGGGAACAAGGGCGTGGCGGCGAGGGGCGTCCCCAAGAACAGCGACCAGAACCGAAACAGAGAACCATAATGCCTGAGAAAGTACAACCTGAAGAAGAYTTTACAGAAAACAGGACGGACGAAGATGAGGACAGACAAACAGCGATAGGAAGACAAAAGATTATGAGTCTGATTGCTGCTTTTGAAGGGAAAGAAGTTTGAATTTAAAAACGATTTTTATCTTATTTTACAGAAAGTATTAATTCATTAACGCTGGGCAACACACAGGATCAAAAGATCAAAAGATTTACTGAAAAAGAATTTGAATAACCATTTATTTTAAATGCCAAATAAACTTTACAACAGGGCCCAGTTGTACGAAGGATGGATAGCTCTATCTGGATAATACTTATCCAGTGGATAAAGGGATACTATTATCCAATAAATTTATCCACTGGATAAGATTTATCCATGGGATAGCACAATCCACCCTTCGTACAATTGGATCCAGATGTGCATCTTGCGAAACACAATTTATGTGCAGCACTTTATGCAACAGACAAAACTCAATTACACTCTAACATTAATACATAGGCATCCCAAAACCCAATGTACACAGTCGATATTTAGTTTGTAGAAAAGATAGAAAAGTAAGACTTGCAATATATATTAGTTATCAGATTTTACAAATGGTCTGTTACATGTATGGTTTGTTAACTTTTAAAAGGTGTGAATAAGTTTAGATTTATAAAGTTCCCATTCATATGGATATTTAAATAAAGCTATTTAAGGAGTACTGTTGATTGGTTGTTAAGAAGTTGGAGGACCATGTGTTATTCTGTTTTGTACCATTTCTTTGTTTAATGGTCGTGCATGTGAAAAGATTGACAGAACCAATACCAAGATAGGCAGTAGTAAACTCCTCTCTCACCTCTAGGGTCTCAGGTTCGATTCCTTGACTCAGCATCAAACAAGAGCCGAGTTTGTAGGGTCTTTTCTGTGATTGGAGGATTTTTCTGTGGTTTTACTCCCAGAAAAAGAACTACTTGGCTAAATTCTAATTGGATTTGTGAGCTAGCCGTGCCTGGGCATTGATAAAATTTTCGATTTTTTAGGCGAAGACACAATAATATGGATACACCTCAAACAAAGAACCTTATTCTCAAGAAAATGACACGTCGTCTGTAAAGGGAAAACATTATGTCCAAACAATGGATCCACTCCAACTTTAACAAGAACACAGGAATACTCTAGACAAGATCAAATCTTACTTGAYGCAATTTGATGGTAACTAGATTCACACAGAGTAATTATTTTCATCCAGGCAAGTTTTAACACTGTAGATCAAACTAAAATATAGAATTTGATTTTTGCAGAGGGAGGAAAGCCAAACAACCCTCAAAGCACAGGAAAGAACCAACAAACAAATTTAGTCAAATACAACACGTCTACTCGCATGAGAGATGAACTCTGAAAAACAGAGAATTTGAAAAAAAAGTGTTGAAATAAATTTTAAATATTTATTTACATAAAATGACACAAGGTTTTACATGCAATTTACACATAAAAGCCTTTGCTCCATATTATTACATTTATGATGAGTACCTGTGTCTTTGTGTGAAACTAGTGTAAGCTGATCTGTCTACTAATGGAGTCCATTGGTTTTCTGCCACAGCTTTCAATCTTATTTAAGTAGTATGGATTCAAGTCAGCTCTTCAAACTTTCCATTATTACTCCAACGACATGTAAGACTGATGTGGAATTCTGCCATTGGGTTGCCAAATAATTTCTATCAAAAGATGATTGAAACAAACATTACAATGGTTACTTGCTGATTTGAAAAAATATGAGCAGAAAAGTTTGATTAAAACATTTTTAAAACAAGTGACAACAGCTTTCAATTTCCAAATTTATTTGGTTGAAGGAGTTCATTCTGCAAGCAAATGGTGAATGTGTAATTACAAGACAGTACATTTCTTCTTGTATTATCACATCTTTCAAGTTTCAGTTTACAAAGTGATTATTAATAGAGTTATTATTATTATTAATAATTAGTCATCAAAAAAAGGATCTTTTAAATGTAATTTATACTTAAAATATAGATTACATGTTGGAAAATGTGCAGGTATTTCTTGTTATCTGATTTGTGTGTTATTGACATTTCAGAGTTTGAGGATTGTTTTGCATTTAAGTAGCTAGATACATGTGGGTATTCCTCTAACACAGATGTCATGTACTGTAACTAATATGCAAGTTTCTAATGGGTCTTGCTTGTATACCCTGCAACATTTTCAAGATTTTCATTTCCATACAGAATCCTCCAGACATACAGCTGTATCATGATATTGTCTGTATTTTCAATACAGTGTATGCTCAAAATTCTCGATAGGAAGAGTATCTATGGACTACTAGATAAGCCATTTAAACTTTAAATTATATAACTACAGCTTCTAAAGAATATCTTACCAATATTCTTGCTTGTTCTGGGGTTAACACATCACCTTCCTTACACACATTATAGTCATTCAAAAGAGTTACAACACCTGCAGCAATAACAATATTAAGACTTTTAAAAATGTGGAAATATTATGACTAACTTTTTAAGATTCGTAAGCTTTTAGGTTTGTGATGCTGTATTTGGACAAGTTGATTCTACTTTTTATTACAAAATGATCTTGAAACTGGCACAACTGTCCAACAGTTTACTCATTTTTTTTTTGAAGGACGTGATGAATGAAAGTAGGCCAACAGTTTATTCATATTTTTTTGAGGGATGTGATGAATGAAAGTAGGCCACTTTCTATTACCTTTTTGAAGAGATGTTGGTAGACCAAGCTGTCTTAAATTTGGCTCCATAGAATGGGGAAACTGATCTAACGGCCCTGTTGGTAAAGATTTCTAGGTTATACCATGTGCATTATTATTTATATTCTTACATCCATATTCTAGTAATGAAATGAATGGTGTGATTCCAGGGGGGATGATATTTGCAGTCCTGTTGCCAGGGGTGGTTATGGGATGCAAACAAACCCCCTTTAATTTCCCTACATTTATATCTCCCACTTTTTAACATTACTTATAACCATAAAGAGTGAAGGATACAGCCCCCCACCCCTCCCCTCTTAATTTCTGAAGTTCTGGCAACAGCCCTGATATTCTGAAGAACCACATGCTAACTATAATTTAAGATAAAAATTTTAAAATTACTAGAGTTTAATAAAGCTGTACAAACCTGCATTTATGGTAAAGTCATAGACTGCTTTATTTCCAGAACGTGCAAAATCCATAATACTGTAATCTTTGAACCAGCTGAAAAAATATTGATTAATTTGAACGTTCAGCTCTAATTTCGTCAAATATAGTTTAGTTGGTACTGTAATGCCAAAAGAAAAGTTTCCTGTTTTTCTTTTTTGTGATATGGCTAGGCATTGCTTACTCTTTGTATCCAGAGGCAGAAGCTTATAACTATATTATATATGTATTGATTTATATTCTTCTAGCTCACATACCTTACGACATCTTCTTTGGACTGATTTGTGAATAACAGACCACACTGACCCTTTAGCCTCTGAAATAACAGTAGGGGAAAAAGTACAAAACTAGGCTTCATTTAATGTTCACAATATACTGATTACTCATGCATTGATAACAGTAATAGAGAAGAGCAGAGAATTTTTAGAAAAATACCTTGCTTAGTTCATGTAGATTTTCTCTGTATTCATCTTCAGGTGTCTTACCAAGAGCAATGATCATAACTTTATTTTTACCAAAGAAAAACCTTTTAAAAAACAAAGAAATATGTGTTGGAATACAATATTTCGTGACCATATCCATGCAGTTATCATATCGCAACTGAATTTTACCAGTAGTAATCAGTATTATATAATCATCTGGCCAAGGCTAGAACCATGACCTCCCACAAAATAGATCAAAGCTCTCACAAACCAATGCTCAACTGAGCTAGTCAGCAGTTTACATCTCTAAAAGGATAATTATGTATGACCCACATACCTACTATGCTTCCATTCTTCTCTTACATCCTTCAGCTTACTATTTCTCATATTCTCCACAGAAAACACATAAATGTCTTTGTATTCATCTATACAATCTTGGACCTGGAAAAATAAGACCAAATTGTACTAGATCTAATTGACAAACTGCATACCTTTACTATGCCATCTTGAAAGGTAACTGTGCCTATGCATCAAAGCAAGAACAGCCGTGACTTTGAAATTGTGTAGTTCGAGTAATTATCCATACCCTCCCCCTCCCTCCCCCTCCTCCCCCACACACACAGGAATTTGGAATTTTTGAGGGGTGGGGGGGGGGGGGGGGGCAAAGAAAGAACAAAATTGCAGAGTTTGTATGGAAAAAAATTGGAATTTCTGGGGATAGGGGGATCCTTAAAAAAATTCATCCGAGGGGAGGGGGTATGGATAATTTCTGGAACTATGCATTATAGAAATCTTTCTTAACACCTTGGACAATTATTCATGTGTCTTTATCATTCCAAGGTCACCCCTGGAGGGAGAGAGAAGTTGGTCTGCAATCCAATGTCATTGAGAGGATCAACAGTAAAATGACGAACTTTCCATTGGATTGGAATGCGTTTGGTACTAAGGGAGGGTGGGTTGGGGATTTCATATCAAATCCCCTCTCCACTGTACATGTGGAAGTATTGACATATTTCAAGAATGAAATACAGATATTTGTTTACCTCTTTAACCAAGCCTGATTTGGTCTCCAGGCCTTTCTTTTTTGTCCTCGTCAAAGAAACTGCAAATACAATAAAGAAAGGGAACTAATTTTTAGAATATAAACAATAAGAAGTTCTTATTCTCTTTGGAAATTGGAGTTTAAAATTTTGAAATGATGTCGAAACCGGTAAACAATCACATACAAAGATGGACAATCATAAACCCAGATCTTAACTAAGAGCCGATAAGAAGCCACGACAATCACTTACCAATCTTATTTCTCTTAGATTTCGGCATTATGGATCAAATACAGCAAATATGTAGTAAAATCTTTATAAAATACAACACGTGCCGCAAGAATTTTCAATATCAATGGGTACATCCGCTGTATCTAACGAAAGCTTTCTCAATTATTAATTTGAAATTCCGCTGATTGAAACATATCGGGCTCAAAAAGGTTTCAATGGTTGGTACCCTAATCATAATGTAATGACCCCCCTATAGGCAGCATTGCACCACCACGTTCTTTCTTTCAGTCGCCGCCATTATGAGGTGAGACAACTAGAAATATAGAGCTACAAAATATTAGATTTTACCTCTTTAATTAAGTTTTTAGAATACAAAAACTGCTAAGTTAGATAATACGTAGCATGGTTAACCGCCTCACGATTTAAAAAATCACAAAAGAAGCATTTTTTGTGTAATTTTGGAGTAAATCCTAAAGCCACGTGAGGAAGATGATTTGGCTTGGAGGATTTTTTTGCCTTATTATTTGGTGCACTTTTTGTTGAAAATTATATATGTATATTGATGTTTATAGGATAGAAGTTCTAGTTACGGCTCTTTATTTGTAGATTTTTTCCTTTTTTTAAGATAATGTTAAAAATCCCTTTTTCAAAATAAGCTTATGTTATATAGCTTGTATGTAGTATCTAAGCTTATGCCTCTAAGATCTATACCTGGAATGATGAAATGAGTCTTATACAAGCTCAGTTTATATGATCATGTCACATTGGATTTATATCAAAAGGCGTAGCTGAATTTTTTCTCCAGTATTCTTATCATCAGTATGAAGTGTCACCCTTTCATGATCACCTTTAATCTCAAATATACATTAGATCCAATATGTTACCAGAGATTTCAGTATCAGATAAAGTTATGTCAAGATGGCACATTAGTCACCTTAACACATAAAAGAAAGACTAACATACGAAACTCTATATATAACTCTATTTAAAGTTGTTGCTGGGATCGAATAAGTATAAATTGGGTAGAGATGCTCTCTTATATTATTCAGATGAGAGATGCATACCTTTGACCCCGGGGGGGGGGGGGTACTCCCCTAATTCGCTATACGGGTACGTGCCGCCAAACAGGGTATTGTTTTCAGCGATTCTACTCTGGAACGGTATATAAAATCACGCTCGCTCTGGAAAAGGGTATATGAAATCATGCTCTCTCCTCTCTGGAACAGGGTTTTCAGCAATCTTGCTCTGGAACAGGGTATGAATTTTAGCGATTTTTACTCTGGAACAGGGGCAGGGTTCAGAGGGCTCAGCGGCACATCCCTACCCTAAATGGGCAAGAGTGCATCCCCCAGGCCTTTGACCATCTTTCAGCATATTACACACTTTCTTAGCAGATTTTGATATTCATGTGTGTCATGTCCTCATATTTCAGTACATTAAGACTTCAAAAGCGGCTGGCATCCAGCTTGCTCAAGTGTGGTAAAAAGAAGATCTGGCTGGACCCTAAYGAGAGCAATGAGATTGCCAATGCCAACTCTCGTAAGTTTTTCTCTTTTTCTTTGACAAAGGACAAAAATGAAATTACATTTAACATAAAATTACCATTATCATAAGCAATCTGTTTATCCAGATCTCAATGGACTGGATATATGGAATCATGATAGTAGAGTCCTTTGTCTTTACTTATAAAGAGATGAAAGAATTAAAAATCTATAAATTCAGATAAATTTTTGTTATCACCTCTTCCTGTATGACTCAAATAGAACTAAACTAGCATTGTAGACTGTTTTCAGACAATATTTTCACAATGTAGGCCATTTGCCTTGAGAATGAGACTCTTTGATCAAGGCACACCCAAAGCATTGCATCTTTTTGAGGATTAATGATAAACAAGAAATACTTTGTTAAAGAAGGTATGAAATGGGACTATGTCTATTGCCCATTTCAGCTAGGGTCTTTAGTGTGTAAAAGAGTATTTTCATTATGTAGACCTACTGTATTCACAAGAAGCATACAAGAACAAAAAATAGCTGTTTGTTTATTTGGAATACAAAGCACACATTGGCTTTTTAGATGGCTTTACTAACTACTTATAGTTTGCCACTATTGACATTTTCATGAATATTTTTGAGAAAGGTATACACATACTGAATCTTTAATTCTGTCCAGGTCAAAACATTCGCAAACTCATAAAAGATGGTCTGATCATCAAGAAACCACAAATCATCCACAGTCGTGCCCGAGTACGCATTGCTGACGAAGCAAGAAGAAAGGGACGTCATAGTGGTCATGGTAAGAGGAAGGGTACTGCCAATGCTCGTATGCCCCAGAAGACCATCTGGATCAGACGCATGAGGGTGTTGAGGCGATTGCTTCGTAAGTACAGAGAAGCAAAGAAAATTGATAACCACATGTACCACATTCTCTACATGAAGGCAAAGGGTAATGTGTTCAAGAACAAGAGAGTCTTGATGGAATACATCCACAAGAGGAAGGCTGAGAAGCAACGTTCCAAACTTCTTAAGTAAGTTTCAGTTATTATTATTATTATTGTTATTATTATTTAACTCTTCAAGTGAGAGTTTTTATTGATAGTAAACCCAGGTACCATAGCGATAATACCTATTGGTAGTGTATTAATTTGCCAACATGAGTGCTATTGGCTTCTGAAAGATCTTGTTTACCACTGTTTTAATTGGTACATGCTAATAGCCCACTTCCGAGATATGCTTCGCTTGTCATGCACAAAGGTTTCAGTATGAGGCTATGTGCTAAATGCTCAGTCATTTGTGACAGGCGGTAAGAATAAATTTAATTTAGCACGTAGCCTCATACTGAAACCTTTGTGCGTGACAATTGAAGCATACCTAGGAGGTGGTCTGTTGACACAACAGTGGTGACAGAGAAATCAAGCAACATACTGTCGTTAATCAAGTAAATTGTTCAGTACCTTAACATGCTCTGATTGATGGAAGTACAGGCAAATGGACACCTGACAATGTCTTGCTGGTCAAATTGCCTCGCTGGTCATTTTGACCAGTAATTTTGAGCAAGAAACAAAGTATGACCTAGCTATTTAAGGTATATGGCTGGTCATCATGATCGGTGACTTAACAGCCGTTATTTTAAGCCCTGGAAGTCTATTGTCCAATTTCCTAACATCAATGGTTGTAACTAAATCTCACGAGACCCTTAGAAAAATATGGTTTCTCATGGTGTCTTTGGTTCCAAAATCATTAGACAGAATGGCACGGGTTACGTGTGACATGTGATTCGACTAAATTGTGTGATAAGTGAAAATAGCAAAATGTGAAGCAAGATTCATGAATTCCAGGTTTATCATTTCTACTTTTATATTTTTATGCAGTTTATTCAGTTCATATGTGAAATGTGAATTTTAGAAATATTGATGTGTGAAAAAGTGCCACTTTGAATTAATGCTTTATATTTTGGAACAAATATTGGCTAGACTGAAAAAGGTCTTTGCCTCTGCTAAACTTATCACCCTAAACAAAGTTTATTTGAACTTTCATAACAGTAGACATGTACTACATACCATACCATACATGTATGTATTATATGAATCAATGCACATAATAAGCCGGCCAATCCTTATCTTCATTAAGGTGCGGTGACTATATGTGCAGAGACGATTGCAAGGGTTTGTTTGACCACCTCTGTTTTGGTACGAGATAATGGTCCTGGGCCCTTGCTAAATTTCATCTACTTTAACCTATACTTATTAATAATAATGTATAGTAATTTCATATAATGTCTCATGTCTTTGTTATTTGACTATCTGGAGATGGTTGCAAATCATCCTTAAATGATGTTCTGATGTCATAAAGCATTATTTCTAATGACTCTTTCATTTATTACAGCGACCAAGCTGAGGCTCGTCGTATGAAGAACAAGGCAGCCAAACAGAGACGAGAAGAGCGTCTTGAAGAGAAGAGGAGGGAGATTCTTAGTTCCTATGCCAAAGAAGAGGAGGCTGCAGCCAAGTAGATCTGTTCTTCTGTAGAATACATTGCCAATTTAAAATAAACAAATTCATTGTAACTTTTTTAGTTTTGTTTGATTCTTGGCCACAATCAAACAGCTTCAAGCTCACCATTCTTTGTTAACGGAATGAAAATCTCTCAGGCATTGCATGCAAATATTTTCCGCTGAGCAACAAATTGTTTGATTCTAACACTTTTCTCTAGGTCTTTCCAGTTTTCCTGCCTCCTCAAAACCTTTTTCTAAGTCAAAGAGTTGCCTTGCTCCTACATTTATTTTGATTGCTAGGTCTGAGGTTGTTTTCTAAGCAACAAACTTTTTCAACTGTAAAAGATGTTAAACACTTGTCTCTGGGTTTTCCAGTTTCCTTGCCTTAAACCTTTTCCCAACTTAATTTGTGGGTTGCCGTGCTCCTACTTTGATTAGCTCTGAGGTTGTTTTCAGGGCATTTCGGTAAAAGTTAAAGCAATGAGTTGGTTGGCAGACAAAAGGCAGGGTACATTTTATTCTAACTTATGAATGCTTAGTATGTGAAAGAAAGTGGGGTAGGAAAGGAAAAATGTATCAAGAGAACACACATCAAATGCTGTTTTATTAAGGGTTCTGGCTACAATTCTACTTCACAATATTACAGGGTATTTCATTAGAATGAGACTAATACAGCCTTAATACTCGTAAAAGAAATGCTAGTAGCATTTATAGAGATAAACAGCTGTGTGTCCATCATTACATTGGAGTGTCTGGCCTGCTCTTAATCCATTCCTTAATCCCGGGAATGTCTCCAATGCGTTGACAAAGAGCCTTTAACTCAGGGTACTTCTCAGTAGCAGCAGCCTCAAACTTTTGGAACGTATCAAAAAATGTGATATCTGCATAGGTTAACTGAAAAACAATTTGAATACTTGTAAATCCTAGACGTCTTTAGGATGCCTGGACCTCAAGTTCACTTGATTGACTGTTAAAAACCAACCACACCCTATTTCTATTGTTTGATGTCCGGTTTGAATTTTGATGTAAAACCTGTCCTGGGTTTTAAATTCAGCATTAATACTAACAGGGGAGAGGGGGGCTGAATTGAAAACCCAGAACAGGTTTTCCATTGAAATTCAAACCCTCCATCAAACATTAAAAATAGGGCTTGGTTGTTTTTTAAACTAGTTAAAACACGTGCTCGGTTTGCATTGAAATCCAAGACCAAGGGCCACAATGCAAACCCTCACCCTAGCATTTTAACCTTTATTGAAATAATGTCTCCAAGTTGAGGTTGGATTTGATAAAATGCAGTAAATGTATAAAACACAAATTCCAACCCATCTTTTCTTGGTCACTGAAGCAAATTCAGGAACTTGGGTCTATTCAAAGCATTTTCTTCCAATTAGTTAACAAGGCTTGCACATTAATCATTTTTACCTTGTTACCAACAAAGAACCCCTTGCCGTCATTGTTGCTCTTCAGCAAAGCTGTCATCTTGGTCAGGAAGGCAGGCAGTTGAGTGTTGTCAAACTCTTCTTTGGCAGCTTTCTAGAGAGAGAAATTTGATAATTTTCTTTTAAACATGTAATACAATTATTACTGCAAATTTTTACTCGTTACTGAAGACTGAAGTCAAAATTTTACATTAAGCATCAAAATCTCTGGTGATTTTCATCAAAATTGGATGATGTGGCAACGTGAAATGAAACCATATTTTTAGTAATTATTGTGCAAAACCCAGGTCTTGACATACTCAAGGACTCGGGGGCCCTACAAGTCCCAAACTGCATGTAATCTTTCCTATAAGACTGGGGCATGKCAGTTATGATTATAAATCAATACCTTTCTTTCTTCATCTTTTTCAAAATATATCTTGACTACTTTTCCAAAGCAATCACCACATGCATCAGTGATCTGATCACAGAGAGCAATCTCAAAACTGTCAGATGGACACAGCCCTGGAAGCATTGGTTAAATGTGTTAATACTGTGGAAAAGGGGTGGGGCCATCATGGGGTGTAACCCTCTTTCATTTAACCAAGTCTCCCCTTAGACTAAAAACAGGGACTATGGAGATGGGGGGGGGGGGGGGGGGGGGGGGGGAAAAAGCCCCCCCCCCCCACTTTACCTTTTCCCATACTATAGTCTCTTATATTTCCCAATCTTGGTCCCTCCACCGTCCTTGGAAAATGGTGTCTTTCAGCTGTTTCAGTTTCAGCTTTTTCAGTTTTACAACCCACCAAGCCTGGGCTGCCTGTGACAGCATCCTTTAAAGTGGAGACAATTTAGTAGAAGTAGCAATATTTAGTGAGACTAAAGCCCTAGGCCCTCTGTTTCTGTAGGGATGCTTGTCCAAACATTTTACCTATAAAAGGTACCAATAATTATGTACGAGTGGAAATTGACAGAAGTGAGATTAATTACCATTACCTGACAAACAACCTAAGAGGTACAGGATTACTCTGTGGTCGTCCTTTTGAATTCGTGACACCATAAGAGGTAACAACAACTCGCAGATTTGGACCCTAAAAGGTACAATGAGCACCCCCTCACCCTTTTCCAAACCCAGTCTTTCCAGGCCTTTTTGCAGTCCCTAACCACTTCAGTGTGTTTGTTCATATATATAATTACCGTTCTCTCTTGCAACATATCGAGCAATGGCCATGGATTCGCATAGCTTCTTGCCATCCACCTCAAGCATTGGAAGGTATCCCATTGGACTGAGACCCTCTGCAAGGCAAGAATTAAATGAATTTATTCATTTCAAATCCATATGTACAGATTCCAAAGTGGCTTACTTTAAAGATGCTTTGCATGTAATGGCCAAAAGTACAAATCTTTGAATATCAGTATAAATTGACTATTTTGTTGTGCATTCGATTGTGTTCGCTTGATTTAGTCAAACTTTTTAATTTTTCGAACATAAACAATCAGATTCAATTGCCTTCGCTCTTCCTCGAAATTGTTTAGAATCGAAATCAATCGAACTCGATCATTTGATTGACTGTTTTCGATTGAATTCGATTTCCGAATTTTTGAAAAACTACGCCTGGATAAGAACCATTACAGACTGACTCGTGAAAAAGAGGGTTCTATTAAGCGTGTTTTACTTTATTCAAACGTATATTTATTGAACGCTGACTGACTGTTCAAATCATGGCTGCAGGGGGAAAAAAAAGAAACTTATGTCTGTCTGTACATTTTTTGTTTTTCAACATTCAACTCAGCCTGCATAATTTTGCAGGTTTTTTCTGTGGGGGTAATATTTCTTTGGTTTTTGATCGATTGCAAATTATCGAAGAAGATCGCATTATATCAATTACATCAAAGGATTACTCTTGATCAGTTGCACGAACCTTGCTTTTTCTTTGCCCATTCTTCACCTGCAAACCTCACATCTTCAAACTGGACTCCAGCAGCTGCAAATAAAAGTCTAATAGCTTCTGCTCGGCCACGAGCATTGAAGTAATAAAGCTTGTAATTGGGCATTTTGCAAAGAGAGTTATTTGCGAGTAAACCGATCCGGGGTAAACGATCAACTGTTATATAACGCTACTAGCCTGCGTCGCTTAAGTTGCGAGTGAAGGCGTGACTCAGCGTTTTCCGGACCTCCCTATCATCTGGGTAATACCACAGGTACCCCAAGTGTCATTTTTGCACATCTGTCAAAGTGATATCGTAGACTGAGAGAGTTATTGGGCTTTAGGTATTCTGGATTTTCTCCCTTTTAGATTAGAAAATATAATATGAACACTAAAAACGGTCTGAGATACAATAGGATTTGAGAGAGGCAGATGGAGGTCAAGATTTCAAAAGCTAACTGAATGTCCCTAATATATAATATTTATCGATTCCAAGCAAGTCTTTTGCAGTCAAGGAAAAGTTTTATAGAGGGCCCCATATGCACATCTTGAGATGCTGTTATCTTACTCATTCAGCATTTACTCAGCAGGTTCTTTCAGCTACATAACTTAATATGCCCAAAGGGCGGCAGGGGAGTGGGCTGCCATATTAGAGTTTAAACAATATGAAATTACCAATAAGATACATTTATTGCATAATTAATACACAATACAGTAACATAACCAAGCTCTTTTAATCTATCGGTGAGCTTCACTTGATGCTCAAAACATCCCTGTATCTAATTTAAGGAGCTATGCATAGCCAAGCTATGCAAGCTATGCATGAGTGTTGGGGTGTGACAGCCCAGGGGGGTGTACTCCCTTTGTTCAGGTGGTAGGGGTGGTCGGTGGTCAATTTTTAAAATGGGCCATAAAAGGTACACATAAATTAAAAAGGCTCTTAAAACCAACCTGATTTCAAACCCTAAAAGGTACAGCTTTATTTCAGTAATTTACTATTAACCCCGGTTATCAACGCTGGTTTAACAAATGACAGGACAGCGTATAATAAGATTATAATGATCATATTAAAGAAATATTTAGTGCATCATTGTAAAGTAAACAGCGGCATAGCGTGGATAATACTCATAATAAATGACCCCAAAAGGTACGGAGTTATGTTACGTAATTGACTTTTGAGCCGGAACCCCTAAAAGGTCCACACAGGGAACATTTTCAACCCTAAAAGGAGCGCTGATCACCCCTACCACCTGAACAAAGGGAGTACCCCCCCTGGGTGTGACTGCCCCATTCTGAGCTATTCTTAATTTACACAATCATTAAATTGAATCTTCTARGCTAGCTGTTCAGCATGTTGATCATTACATTGGTGTGTCTGGCCTGTTTTTAATCCATTCCTTGATGCCAGGAATTTCACCAATGCGACCATAATGTGCCTTTATTTCTGGGAATTTTTCAACAGCACTTTGAATCGGTGCCATACCACAACAGTGCAAAATAACAATGTCAGCATATGAGAACTGAAAAAAAGTAGAAAAAGCAAGATCAAACATGACCCAAAATAATAGAATAAATAATTAGGGGCACATACAGTACAGGCCACCTCAGATAGATTTCAAGCAGACAACACTGCAGACAACACTGTAAGAAATGAATTACCAGTTGCACATGCAACATAACAGAAAATTCCATACTATTCCTCTCTTCATGTGTCACTTCAAACATGACTTCAATCTCTATGGGTCAATGGCAGGGGAAAAGCCTGACTCATTATTTACATCATAAAACTTGGAACCTACTAATTCCTGAATTTATTAAATAAGTCTTGTCATGCTACATATGCCTTTATTTACCTTGTTACCAACAAAGAACCCCTTGCCTTCATTGTTGCTCTTCAGCAAAGCTGTCATCTTAGTCAAGAAAGCTGGCAAATGAGTGCTGTCAAACTCTTCCTTAAAAGTTTTCTATAGAAAAAAAGCAAGAATGGTGTAATAAATTAAATATAATGTACAGTAACTAACAACAAATAATAATAATAATGATAATAGTAATAATAATAATAATAATGTCTAGTGACTAAGCAAAAAATACTTCATGTATATGGTATCCTAAAAAGAAAATGAGAAGTCTTTCATACAAACCTTTCTTTCCTCATCTTTTTCATAATGAAACTTCACTAGCTTCCCCAAAAGATCTCCAAATGCATCACAAATCTGATCACATTGTGCAATCTCAAAGCTGTCAGATGGGCAAAGGCCTACATGGAAAGTTAAGAATGCAGTTAGGAATGAGGTCAAAAAATGATCTGAATTATGTAATGGCCTAATTTTGTGATAGTTGTCATGTGTGTTTTGAAATGTTTTAGTTCTTGCATGTCTGTAGCAATTATTTCCATACAGAAAAACCCAAACAATCTTTTCCCTACAACCTAAACTTCTCCCCAAAAAATATAAAAACCTCTCTTGAAAGACCACTCTAACAGGGACTTCAGAGCATAGTTTTGGATTTGGGGGGAAGGGGGAGGGGGTCTAATCTAGGGGGCCTGGGAGAATGCTCCCCAACCCCTGAAAATGTTGAAAATTGAGGCTAAAACATTAGTGAATATTTGTAAGTAAACATATAAGTATAACAAAGACATAATTGCATATTCATGATGCTAGGCTAATAACTAAAATATTACCGTGCTCTCTTGCAACGTATCGGGCAATGGCCATGGACTCGCATACCTTCTTGCCATCCACCTCAAGCATTGGGAGGTATCCCATTGGACTAAGACCCTCTGTAAAACAGGAATGATTTGTAAGACTACAAACTACTGATACCTTAAAGGCAGAGGAGAGGGGGGGGGGGGGTGGAAAGGTCTATGGATCGGCGGATTGCAAATAATTTTAAAAGTCCGCGTTTCAGATTAAATCCTTAACGGACATATTGTTTTTGGATTCGGAATTGAGCAATTTTCGGATCGCGACGGATCGGCTATTATTATGTAACTTTTATATTAACTGATCGACAGGTTTGCATATTCCTATACAACCCCTCTTTCATTTTTTAATCCTGAAATCAAAGCCTCATAGGAGTAGCTACTTGTGTCTTTTAATTTATAAACCCACCTTCCTTTTTCTTCAGCCATTCTTCTCTTGTGTACCGAATGTCTTCGTACTTAACACCAGCAGCTGCGAAGCAGAGTCGAGTTATCTCCGCTCGGCCGCGAGCATTGAAGTAATGAAGCTTATACGAAGGCATTTTGCAAGTTTCAGGATCAAGGAAAAGCTGTGAAATATACGTATACTAGCAAAGAAGATTGARCTCTTTAATAGTAGCTGGAGTCCTCGTGCAGAATGACTCAGCGTCGCGTTGGGGGGCGGAGACAAGGCATCCCAGGTCACGTGTGTAAGGGACATTAATTTATATGCAAAAAAAGACTAATTAATTGAACTAATTAATTTACTCCGTGAACACGTTAATTATATGCATATGTCTGAGAAGTTACGATACTAAAAAAATGAAGATCAATTTAAAAAGATACTTTCTTACAGAAATCATTTGTCTCAGTGCTGAAAATAGTGTTTCAGGACTTCCAAATATCAAAATGTTCTGAGGGACGAATAACAATAATAATAATWATTATTATTTTAATGATAAGTAGTCTAAATAAATTTAATAATAAATAAATTTAATAATATGATATAAAGTATATTATAAATTACGTAATGACTATTGAATGAAAGAGTTCCGATCCTCGTTGAATGCAGGGAGCAGACAGTGCAGCTTGTGACTAGGACCACTGAAYGATGTTCGTAAATAGATTCTCACATACGGCATGTCGACGGGTGGCCAGGGGCGATAAGCAGGAAGCAGTTGGTCTTTCACTGAAGGATAGATCAGGACCACAGATTATCGACTAGAGGGCACGTTTTTGGATCCGTTCGATGTCACTGATGTATGTGGGCAATGCATAATGATAAACCRGTGATGCATATCCAACCACACTACGAATGCACGAGCAGTAAAAACTGRTGACCATGTCAGTAGTAGCGACATTTTAAACACGTTTCATTTGCCTCAAGAAGTACATACGTTTGTGGATGTAGAACCATGGGACCCAACTTAGTACCTTGGGGGACACCTGTTGCAAGCACGAAGGCAGCATAACATTAAAAGGCGCTTGTAATTGTGCCAACAATTATATCCCATCCCATTACAAATGACGGTTTAGTTTAACTTTGTTTATTAGTTGTTGGTAAGAAATTAACAGACTAAAGTGGCATAAAAATCCACATGTGAAGGGCATTCACATGGGAGTTTGGGGTCTCTTTTTGATCCATTCCTTGATGCCAGGAATGTCGCCAACTCGTTGATAATGTTCTTTCAATTCAGGGAATTTATCAAGAGCATTTTCGGYCATCATGCAAAGAATTGTGCTCAGATTGAAGATGCAGATATCAGCGTAAGACATCTGTAACGAAAACAAGTAGAAAGTGAAATGAGTCTTGGATAGTACACCCTCAAACTCAACTTGCAACTCGCAAGGCAAAGGATTGACGATACGGAAACCGTTAAATCGTAAGTTCAATTAAGTGGTTAACTACTTGCATTACTGCTGTGGCAATTACTGTAAAATAGTTKTGCGAAAAGTAAAAGGTCGCCATTCTTGGATTCTGTGTGGCACGTTTGAGGAATAGGACGCACGCATGCGCAACTGTTTTATGTTACCTGCTACACGGCTTCACGTTGGGACCAAAGAGCCGGCATTAATCTTTTGTTTACCATTATTAGCACTAATTAAGTTCAGTTTACTTCCTTTTTCTCCGCAAACCCCAACGCGCTAAATTCCAAAGCGATGGGTGAAATATCTATACCTTGACTTAGATCAGCTCAGAACCGTTGGTGTGCAGGCTTTCAATACATCTAGAATTCCCATTCGAGCGTCAGTTCATTAGTGCATATTTTTAACTTTACATAGACTGACATCGTCCTACGCCTCTTCTTACCTTGTTACCAACAAAGAAGCTCTTGCCTTCATTGTTGCTGTTCAGCAAAGCTGTCATCTTGGTGAGGAAGGCTGGCAAATGAGTGTGGTCAAACTCTTCTTTCGTCAATTTCTGCGGGTTGAAATTCCAAAGTACTGTTAAATGCGCAAAAGCCGTAGAACGATAACAAGAACRATAACCAAGTGTCTAGGGTAACCACCTCAAATGGCGCGAATCAATATTGCTTATATGACTGATAATTTCTGATTGAACTTAAACAGTATAAGTATAACCGACTAGGAATCTTTTCCACTAAAAAGATTACCTTATTGTTGAAGAAAATTAAATCTCATAAAAAATGGATGAAAAAAAAGAAAAGAAAAATCTTATGTGGAATAGAGTGGATACGAACCTACTAAGAAAAAAAAAATCAAAAAACACGATTCAACTGTGCCATACCCCCGAGACATCCGCAGAGCTGAGGCGTCGTATGGACTTCGGACTTGACGGCGATGAAATCCTTCTGCCCTTGGGTGCACGAATTACGCAAGAAAATGTTCTAGCCAAAGCATCAGGGGAGAGACCAGCCGGCCCCCAGACCATATCGGCTRATCCCTTGCATCTCTGCCACGCACGGAATCGGTTGAAAATTTAATGTTAAAAAGTCTAGTCTATWCGGTGCATTGTTTTCACGGCTATTGTTATGCTGATTCACCATGAAACGTGGTCCAGTGGATAAATCGTTTGCCGATCAATGTACTGAGTCAAGCTCGTCAGAGGAGGGTTAGCACTTGGATGGGTGACCTAAACATTATACCTACTCACGCTTTTTTTCCTTTTTTTTTTTTTTTTTTTTTTTTTATTTATTTATTTTTTTTTCTTTTTGAAGAATAAAATATAGAATAGCGAAGCTTTTCTATTTTTGAGTAACCTATTCCTGTCTACCCCAACCCGTCAAATTGAAATCCAGCACAGGAATATAGGAATATAGGAGTGTCTATAAAATGACCGGCAGCCGGTCAAGAATTTCAAAACATTAAATGATCGGCAGTTCCATTTATTTAAAACAAAATCCAACGTCCATCCATACAATAACACAAACCAAACTTAAAACTCGAATAAACCTTATTTCTATAATCGTTTATAGCGCTAGTACTATTGAATCTCAAGTAAGAATCTGGCAAGTAAAAATGACTTGAAACGAGGCCGTGAAGGCGATCTATCATGGGGAACTAAGGTCGCCAACTTATTAATTAAACCTGGAATTTGTTTACTCACAGGAAGATTTGAAGCCTTTTTTTYCTAGTTTAATTAAGTTAAAGCTATTAATCTTAAACTCTTTCTGTACAGAATACTGCTTTGAGAGGCTAAATTAAAATTTTGAGTTAGACAAATAAAGATCTTTTCACGTGATCTTGATCTTTCTTGGTCAGTTTATACATCCGAGTAATTCCTAATCCTGCACTGAGCCTTGAATTTCAGCAACTAACGAAAAAAGCCATGCTTAGAAATTAATTTCCGAYAGTGATTCGCAGCCCCTCCACCAATCAATCACTTTGATAAATTAGACATTGATTGGCAACTGTCACTTGAATATAAATCAGACTTTACACTGGCTGTCTGTATTATATGTCCGCAAAGGACTCTTGGGTAGTGCCGTGAACACCCCTGGGTACTATTGCGCAATTTTGGCATTTTCTGACGCAGGAAAATACGATTTTTAGACTGGGCGGCCACAGGCAACCCAGTATTAATGCGCAATCATTTTAAAATGTAAGTAAACAAAACAGAGAATGCATGGAATCTGCGATGTAATGCTTTTGTTGGAATCGAGAAAAAATTGGTCAGCAAAACAAAAGAGGAGTAGGAATAAAATGTTAAATAGCCCACCTTTTTCTCTGGATCCTTTTCAAAAACAAATTTCAGCATTTTCACGTAGAGGTCACTCAAAGCATCGACAATCTGATCACATTGTGCGATCTCAAAACTATCAATTGGGYACATCCCTAAAAGGAATGACACGGTTAAGATTATATCATAGGGTTAACGGTAGGACATAAATCAAGGCCTAAGAATTAGTAGTTAGACGCAGGAATCAAAGAATTTTAACTTTTAAAAATTTGATTTTCTACGTATCGTGATAACCATTTTGAACGATCGTCTTTTAGGAACAACGGCTTTTGTTTAAAAGTAACACCTTATTGGACCTCATTTGTCTCATCATAGTGTTTAATGAAATGAACCTCGATAATCATGACGAATTTTGCAAAGGAATTCTTAAAAATATCAACCATTACCATTGATGAACACAAAAGTCCGATGTTCATTAAGCGTAACTCAAGAAAATTAAGCGTAAATCGTAAAATTAAAAGCCAACACCTTTAGCACCGGCCAAGAGGATGTCATGTCCGCTTAATTCCCTCTCGTTGCCAGAAAGGGTGATGCATATTCTACGCTGTATGAGCGCATCATCCGGATGTGCATTACACCGGTTGGATTTCGTCGAGTTCCACACCTCGTAGTTCAGAARCTAGGTTGTTATTTCGTGGATTCAGCACGCAATCGCGTACCTTTGAATGGTGCGACATGTAGGTTAATAGTGAGCAACAGACATTGTATGCATTGCCCTGGCT